TTCGTTGGCTGTAAGGCCAGGTGGCGAGGCTTGAGTGGCTGGAAAAATTAAAAAAAATAAATCTTTCTCTCTCTCCTCTCTCTCTCTCCGCCGACCAAGTCTCCCCCTCTCTCTTAAATAAATTTTATAATAAATATATAGTTAACATGTATTCTCTAGCATGCCCCAATGTGTATGGTCTTTTTTTTTTGTCATCTAGTTTTATTATTATCATCAAGGAAGGATACAAGGTGAAATACTTGTTGGAACAAACTCTTAAGCCGGCGGAAAACAAGATTTCCCCAGAAACTAAGCCCAAACAAGGGAAGCAAAAGACTAATACGATGAGGCAAAGAGATATAATGATAGGAGACATATCTCACGACACAAAAACCAGAAAACTCGACCAACATGATACTACCAAAACAACACAGAAATCCTAATTCCAAGAGAGTCTCTGAAAGAACCAATCGAAGATGCCCACGGCCAACCATCGAAACACGAATCCTCCTCATAAGGTGCCATACTGCCTAAAAGTAACCGAACTCCAATGCTATGCTTCATAACCCGGCAAGACAGAACAACTCTATGTTCCAAACACTTTCTTCCAGATACGGCGACGTCGTAAACAAGGCGACAATTCACACCTAGATAGAAGCCACAACAACGGACCAGATCCCGATCAGATCTGAGATGCAGAGATGAGGAGCGACCAAACCAAACTGGATAACACCATTCTCGAAAGAGACAAGAGTAGTGAAAGATCGAACCAGAATGGAATCAAAGACATCTCCCAACGAACCAGAAAAGAACCTGCAAGCTTAGCAAACACCAAAGTCGAGCAACCACTAATTATCATGCCAATAAATGAGAAAAGCCGACCCCCTATCCAACAGCCAGAGAAATCGCGATCAACTTCATCATAAACCGGAAGACACTGCCTGTTCCGCATCCTAGACCGAAGGATAAGATAGAAGAATAATCGACAAAACTCTGAAACTGTCACTGCCTAAACTTGGAATTAAACTTTGAATCAACTAAAAACAGACATCTCCCAAGACCAGCACGGGCAAAGCATAAACCCAAGTCACAATATACCTCCTCAGCAACACAGCCAAAACCAGGAGCCACTACGGCAAACAACCGTCGCGAGCATCCACAAAAACGCCACAGATCCAAACGTCTCCTCTTCTCCTTTGAGACAATATCAAACAAATCCACCACCGCGACGTGAGTGACGAGCCATCACTGCTGGAGGAAGAAAAGACCGCAACCACCGGACACAAGGGACAACGCTGCGTACCACCGAGAAGGGAGAACCAAAGACCCGACGAGAAAAACTTCTGGCCACAGAGGAGGAAAGCAGGATACGGAACGAGTGGAGAGACACCATCAAGGAGCAAGCACCACCACCGAATCACCACTTCCGATTTAAACTCCAGCCCAGATCTGACGAATCGATTCTCCAATCACTACTACACGAAGACAAAGCACAAACTACACTTGAAAATTAAAAGGAGAAACAGCGAGACCGGAGCCAGTGCTAGGGAAGCCACCGCACTCCGGTCTCAGATCTGGCCAAATTTTTCGACGGCGGCTGAGTTTTTAGGTTAAGCGAGAGAGAGAATTAGGTTTCATCGCCCCAATGTGTATGGTCTAATACATGTTTTTTAATTGTGCAATTATTAAATACCAATATATTTAAAAATAAATAATTAAATAACACAAAAATAGAACTGTTTAAGGGAATATAATACTTTTACCTTGTCTCTTTACCTCTTCAAATTCATGAAAAAACTTATTATTTTTTTCCCTTTTTTAATCTTTTCCATCACTTGTCAACGTCACATCACCTATCACCTATCATCTATCTCTCTTTATCTCCCCCTCGTCCTTTTTTTCATCACTTTCATCATTCATGCATCTCTGCCCTCATTCTCTATTTTCTTCTATATTTCTCTAGTCAACCAAAAAAATTGCATTAAGGAAACCAAAAGAGAAAGAGAAATTGTTAAAAATGCCCCTTTTTCAATACCCCTTTTCAAAAATGCCCCATTTGAGAGTCCATTTTTAAGTTTGCCCTCTTTTAATTTTTAATGACCATTTTACCCTTATTTGAAACAAAATTAGGTCCACAAAATACAAAATATTTTTTGGCGGGAAAAGTGATCCCGCAATTTTCCCGCCAAAACACTTGTAAAAAACCTTTAAAATACCTTGTAAAATTTTCCCGTAAAATTTTTTCCCGCCAAAAAATTTTTTTTGCGGGAAAAGTGATTCCGCAATTTTTTTTTTTTGGCGGGAAAATTTTTGGCGGGAAAAATTTACAAGGTATTTTAAAGGTTTTACAGAGTATTTACAAGTGTTTTGTAAGGTTTTACAATGTATTTTAAAAGGTTTTACAAGGTACTTATAAGGTTTTATAAGGTATTTATAACTTGTAAAACCTTATAAAAAACTTGTAAAACCTTATAACTTGTAAAAACCTTATAAAATAGCTTGTAAAATCTTATAATATCTTATAAATACCTTGTAAATACGTTGTAAAACCTTTTAAAATACATTGTAAAACCTTATAAATACCTTGTAAAAAACCTTTAAAATACCTTGTAAATTTTTGGCGGGAAAAATTTTCCCGCCAAAAATTTAACGCCAAAAAAATTGCGGAATCACTTTTCCCGCAAAAAAAATTTTTTGGCGGGAAAAAATTTTACGGGAAAATTTTACAAGGTTTTTTAAAGGTTTTTTACAAGTGTTTTGGCGGGAAAAATTGCGGGATCACTTTTCCCGCCAAAAAATATTTTGTATTTTGTGGACCTAATTTTGTTATTTTCCTTATATATTTGTGATATCTTTTATTAAAAGAAGGGTAATTTAGTCATTTTGTACATAAAAAGGGGTATTTTTAAAAATGGACAGCCAAAGGGGGCATTTTTGAAAAGGGGTATTAAAAAAGGGGCATTTTTGTGAGTCTCCCAGAGAGAAATCAAATTGAAAAGGATATTTAAAATAAGGGTAATATATAAAAAAAAAAATTGGGGGCCAACATCAGTACGATGGGTTTCAAAACAGTTTTTTAAGAAGTTAATGCTATATATATGATATACTGGTGCCAAAGAAAATAATCATGCTTTTGACAAAAAGATTAATCAAACTAAAACAATATGGATTAGAAAAAAAAAAGGATTAGCAATCAAATGGTAACTTTTTCTCATTACTGAGAAAAATGCTTAGTAGGTTTAGTACATCGGAAAGAATGCTTAGTCAGTTTAGAAAATTTACATAATTATATTTAGAAATTAGAAACATTTGCTTTTGTAACTATCTTAGAGCATCTTTATCAGTAGAAACGTTATCAGTTTCTCAAAAAATATTATTTTAATAATTTTGATATAATATTATTATTTATTTTATAAATTTTTTTATAAAAAAACATTTATCCAATTACAACAGAACATGTGTCAAGATACGTTTCTCATAGTTTCTCGATTGAGAAACGATTCTCAGTCTCTCTCCTACTTTAGTATTACTTTTTGTTTTTTAATTAGTCAGAAACTCTCTTAGAAACTGTAGATGGAGATGGTCTTAGTTTTAGAACTGCAAAGATATAGAATAACCCAATGAAAAAAAAAAAAAACTGGTTAGAAAGATTCAATTGTAAGAGTCACCAAAATAGAAAGTTTGATAATGTATGCAATTGATCGACAATTTCAATTCAAATATATAGCTATGTTATCTTTCTACACTATTATGGTAGTAAAAGTGGGATGCTTCGAATCTTCTACCGTAAAACACGTGGTTGTGTCCAAATGTATATTTGGGATACAATAAAATCAAAATAAGACAATTAAGCCCATTAATCATATAATGGTTCCTAAATATCTATCTTCATAATTCATTTTCCATTAATCTACTCCTTGAAACCTGAAGAGTTTTAGTGACTACTGACTAGTAATGGGCTCTATAGATGTAGAAGATATAATTGCATTTCGTACTTATGAAGAAGCAAGCCTTGGACATGCATAACACACATTTTTGTCCCTTCGGGGACATCCGATAAAATTGGAACGATACAGAGAAGATTAGCATGGCCCCTGCGCAAGGATGACACGCATAAATCGAGAAATGGTCCAAATTTTTTTGAATATCTTTTAACAAAAAAAAAAAAAAAAAAGCCTTGGACATGCATCTCTGTTTCACAGCAGGATCATCTCATGATATTGAAAAGGATTCTTCAAGAAGCACAGAAAAAGACAAATTCATATGAATTATTAACTCATGTCAAAATTATTTCAGATAAACAAAATCCTATGAATTATTGACACAAGTCAAAACTATGTTCTTATGTCAAGGAACGGAACATGTTTGATGAAAAAAAAAAAGAACGGAACATGTTCTGGACTCATTGAGTGGCTGTGAATAATGCTACGGTCCATGAAGGGATCAAGTGTGGACCAGTCTCTGCAATATTTTGTTAGGTTGACTTGTTTTCACTAGAATCGTATATTTTTCCAATCCAGTAGTCCGTTTAACATCAAACCACCACCAACTGAAACCCTAATTTACATTTTTTTTTTTATTATTCTGTAATTGGGTTTGATCCATGATGGAAAACCTTTTGACAAATGCGATATTTAAGATTTTTTAATGTGATAATTCATCTCCAAATTGCTAGTTATGCCTAGAAACATCATATGACTTTAAATGATTCGATAGATTAAATAAAAGACACTTACAAGACTCATAAACTCGACAAAATACACAAACTACCAAAAAAAAAAAACCGAAATCTAATAAACACAACAGCATCTAATTAATCAAATCCTTTATTACACTAAAAAATAAATTTAAAAGGCTTTTTTTTTTTGATAGAAACTACAATATTCGACTATAAGCCGATAAAGCTGATAAGCCCAATAAGTATAATAAGCCCATAGTTTGCAAATTTGTCTAGTTAAGCCCATTTACGCAAAAAGAGTCTGTTCAATTACAATAATACCCTTAAGCTTCATCGTCCTCCTAGAATCTTCATAATTTAATTGATCCTCCATAAAAAAATCGCTAGGGTTTTCTTCCATACACAATCAGACTCAACCAACCGGAGAAGAGATTCCGATAGGATGATGACTTACGAAGGTAACGGAGATGGCGTCGCTGTCTCCACCGAAAACCACAACGAGAATTACATGTCTCTGGGGAGCTCGCCTTTTCAGTCCCTTGGTGGCGACGATGGTCATGAAGACTCCAAGTCTCGAGTATGTTACACTTGATTCCTTACATAGCTTTTAGGCTGCTTCTTTTGTGTTAGATTGGTAATCATAATAGTTCAAGATTGTTCTCCACTTTAGTTGTTAATTTGGTACAATTCTCAGATAATTCCGTATTGTTGAATTTTATGTTTTAGATAGTTTGATTCAAGGGATTCAAAGGATTTAGAGCCTATATTATCATGATAAATTCATATCTGCTCTTTAGAAATTTGGGGATAATGTATGGTTTTCTTAAGTTTTGGTTGTACTTATGGAGAAGCCTTTTTGACATTTGTTTCCAGCAGGAATCTCATGATCTTGAAAAGGAATCTTCGAAAATCAGTGAGAAAGACAGAGACAAAGATCGTGAGAAGGATCGTGACAGGGAGAAGAGCAGAGACAGAGATAGGGAGAAGAGCAGAGACAGAGATAGGGAGAAAAGCAGAGATAGGGATAGGGAGAGAAGTAAGGATAGGGAACGAGACCGACATCATAGAGATCGTCATAGGGACCGTAGCAGAGAACGTGAGAGAGATGATTTGGATGATGATGATCATCATCACAGAAGTCGAGACCGTGACAGGTACCTCATTACTGTGTTGCAATTGTTTTCTAGTTTTAGATTGTTTTATTCTTAAATTGATGGTTTCATCATTTATCGACAGGAGAAGGTCTCGCGATCGAGACAGAGAGGTGAGACACAGGCGACGGTCACGCTCTCGGTCAAGGAGCCGCTCTGAACGTAGGTCAAGGTCAGAACATAGGCATAAGTCTGAACATAGATCACGTTCACGCTCACAGTCGCGATCAAGGTCAAAAAGGTATCTGGGTTCTCTGTTATTTTTATCCTTTACAACTAGTTCTTTCCGTGGCGACATTGCAATGTGTTATGATATTGATATCAAATCAAATAAATCCATTATTGTTTAGTCTTTGATGTCTTTGTTTTGTTGACACACAATATAATTATCATGGTCTTCTACTGGGATGAATGGTCTGATCTGGGTCATTGATGTTATTTGTGCTTCATACGTTAGTTCAGGCATTATTTTTCCGTAGTCGTTTCTACTGCACCTGACCAATTATATTTTGCTCTTTCAGCAAGAGGAGAAGTGGATTTGATATGGCGCCTCCTGATATGTTAGCTGCTACTGCTGTTGCTGCAGCAGGTATTTGCTTCATCATCTACTCAACGTTATTATATTTCTTAACTGCTTGTTGTTTTTGGTTTTACGTAGTTTGGAAAGATCATAGTCAATTTCACGGTGTGACTTTGGTAAGCTGCATTTTTATTGTTTACTCGTGAACAGAGGACTTTAATGTCTTGCTTTCTTCATAGGATGTCTTGTTATTTTTGTCGACTGGTGAAGTGGTTCTGGAACTGAGAAATTTTTGTTTGTTTTTTTGGTGGTGTTTGTTTGTTTCTGTGTCTTGTCTTTTGTAGTAAGAAGGCTATGTTGGGTTAGTTGCCCCACTGTGCTGACAATGAGCCGACCTCTCTAGCTTTAATTGTACAAGGAGGAATCAGTGCAACGGTTGTCATGGGTATTTTTCATCTTCAACTGGCAACTATATGCCTGTTTTCGAGCCTTACAAATTTTGACCACTCGAAACGAATACGACATTACACTTTTTCATTTTAATATTCATAAGATGTTGGGATATTTTCTACTTGTGGGTTTTGTTCGTAGGAAGGTGTCATATGTAGCGTTGTACTTGTTGGTAGGTTTACTCCTCCGGGAAACATAATAATGTATCTAACAACATTTTATGACGCATACTACTTTACCTAGCAGGCCAGGTTCCTAGTGTGCCAACTACTGCTACTATTCCAGGGATGTTCCCAAACATGTTCCCAATGGTCCCTGGTCAGGTATAAAAACCCGTACTTTTTGCGTCTCTTTAGTTATTTATATGTTCCTCTTTCCTCTTGTTTTATGTGAACATGCTCATAACTTCTCATTCTTTCTTCTCACATAGCAACTGGGCGCACTTCCTGTACTGCCAGTTCAGGCAATGACTCAGCAGGTAAGATCTATCAATCTATCTTATTCTTAGGTTCTTCACCTTTTGTCGAGATTCCCTTCCTAAAATTTGTATTATGATCGTAGGCAACTAGGCATGCTCGGCGAGTCTATGTTGGTGGCCTTCCACCAACTGCAAATGAACAGGTTTGTTACTATTGTTTTGTTTAAGGGTTTGTGACTTTTTGTTTATTATGGTCTATTTAAACCACATTTTAATATCCATTGTAAGACTACTGAGAATGGGTTTTCATGTTCTAGTCGGTGGCAACGTTCTTTAGCCAAGTGATGTCGGCCATTGGGGGAAACACTGCTGGCCCAGGTACTGAAAAGTTCATTGTTTTGTCCAGGTTGATTATCAATAAGTCTAGACGAAAACTCATCCGTTTTTGGATTTTTTATTCATAGGTGATGCGGTGGTCAATGTTTATATAAACCACGAAAAGAAGTTCGCTTTTGTAGAGATGAGATCTGTTGAGGAGGCTAGTAACGCAATGGCATTAGACGGCATTATATTAGAGGTGATTTATTATCTCTTCTACAGTTTAGATGTTTGGTTTTTATTAGTTACAATCTGTATTGTGAGTATTGAAATCATAGCTTTGATCATCTCTAGGGAGTTCCTGTAAAGGTAAGGAGGCCAACTGACTATAACCCGTCCCTTGCTGCAACTCTTGGTCCGAGTCAGCCTAACCCCAACCTCAACTTGGCGGCTGTTGGATTGTCTTCGGGGTCTACTGGTGGGCTTGAGGGTCCCGACCGCATTTTTGTGGGCGGGCTTCCCTATTACTTCACAGAGGTTCAAATCAGGGAGCTCTTGGAGTCTTTTGGGCCCCTAAGAGGTTTCAACTTGGTCAAAGACAGGGAAACTGGAAATTCGAAGGGATATGCATTCTGTGTTTACCAAGATCCGTCAGTAACTGATATTGCATGTGCCGCTCTAAACGGGATTAAGATGGGTGATAAGACACTTACAGTTAGGCGTGCAATCCAGGGTGTGATTCAACCTAAACCCGAGCAAGAAGAAGTCTTACTTCATGCCCAACAACAGATTGCTTTGCAGGTGAAGGATTCAGATTCACTTGATTGATTGTCTGTTTACTTTATAGTTCGTTTTATAAATCGTTTGCCGTTCACTCTATCTAGAAGATCAATAATTTATATCTGTCTCAAACTTTTGTCGCAGAGGCTTATGTTACAACCAGGAGGCACTCCCACCAAGATTGTCTGTTTGACTCAAGTGGTTACAGCTGATGATCTTAGAGACGATGAAGAATATGCAGACATAATGGAGGACATGAGACAAGAAGGTGGAAAATTCGGTAAGCAATTCGATTTTGTATTGTATGTTCTTACATTATACCATTAGCACATACTCAGGCTTTTACATGGTCCGATATGAACTTTGATAATTTATTGTTGTGTGCAGGTAACTTAGTGAATGTTGTGATTCCAAGGCCCAATCCAGATCATGATCCAACACCAGGAGTTGGGAAGGTTAGATTCAGTTCTCAGATAACACTGCCTACCAAATTCATATATAAATTGCATACTCTAAATGGTAATATATTAATGCAGGTTTTCTTAGAGTATGCGGATGTGGATGGCTCATCAAAGGCCAGATCAGGGATGAACGGAAGAAAATTTGGAGGAAACCAAGTGGTGGCTGTGTATTACCCTGAAGACAAGTATTTGCAAGGCGACTACGAAGACTGAGCTAGATATCGTTCTTTTCTTAAGCTTTAGTGTGGACCTCTTAGCAACAAGTTTGGATCTTTTTGTTAATTTTATTTTCTACATGTTAAGGTCGCTCTACTTAATGGAGATATTTGTTTCTCTAGAATCTGAGTGCAATAGTAGTTGTCCAGGCACAATCAAGGTGTGTGTTGGTAGTAGTAGCTTTTGGTTTCATTGAACACCAAAGTTTATATTATTGTCCTTTTAAAAGCTAAAATAACCAACATTAGATAATACAACTTACAACATGCATAGCTGAAAACGTTCGAAATCTCATTAAATTAGGACTATTAAATTTTATATACAAATAAATAAAGAAAGGAACAACACATTAAACAAGTAGCACCAGTGGTCTAGTGGTAGAATAGTACCCTGCCACGGTACAGACCCGGGTTCGATTCCCGGCTGGTGCAGTTGAGCTGTGATGAAATTGGCTTCAGCGAAGGTTGGGTCCTTCGCATTTCTCCGGTCTATCCGGTGATATATGGCCTCGTAACTGAGCTCTTTCTTTTTCTTTTTACCTCAGTAGTTCATAAACAGTTGATTATGCTAATAGTAACAGCTCGTGGGGCGAAAAGGTTTGCTTAACCGAGAGTCTCAGATGGTCACAACCCTAAGCCGCAGAAAATGGATATGAGAAATATAAACATCCATGATCCATCATAGTAAGTTCGACAATATGGTTGCGAATTTTTTAACGAAAATGACATGTTTTAGATTTCACAAGACTCACATGTTTTATGAGTTATTAGTGGATCTGTATAACACAACAAGTCAACAACAATAGGTGATGAGTTAAAAGGAGTTTAGAAGTGTAAATTTAAAGTTGGCATATTAAACAATTCAATTACCAAATGTCAAAATACACGTCTAAGTATAACTTAAAAAAAACAAAAGGTCAACAAAGACCACCATTTACAAGAAGTTTAAGCTATGCGTGGTAACACATTAATTTATAATTTATAATTTATTAAAATATATTAACAATAATTCGAAGTTAAAAAAAATTGTAAGAATTTTAAAATAATTAAAATTTGACAATGTAACAACTAACAATATCACATCAATAATATAAATTACTGATAATTTTTTCTTCATATTTGATAGAAAATGATTTAGATATATGAATACATAATTAAATATGAAACTTTTCACGATAACAATGTGTAGTATTTTTACAACCAGGAGGAAGATGGTATTCGTTGGCTGGAACTTTCTTACAATTTTCGGGATTCTGATTGCAGTTTGGAATTCTGTCTTTTGTAATAACTCCATATTTCAAATATTTTCTTCCTTCTCCGAATCCGCTGAACAATGATAATATAATCATCATTGAAACAAAAGAAAGAACGGTAAGACTCATTTTGTGTGTACCCATTGTTTAGAAACAATGTATTTGAATCTTCTTGATCTTTTTCTTTGTTGTTATATTTTGCAGTTTGAGTTGGTGATTACTGGTTTGTGTTTCTTCGATTTATAACAAGAGAGATGATTCTAAATACAGAAGGCCAGTGCATAATGTGTGTGCATAAGGAATTTAGTGGCTATTATATATCACTTTTGTTCCATTAGCAGGAAATATATGTATTTTTTCATTTTCTTTTTGGTATTAAATCTCTAAAGATAAAATTTTTTCGTTTTTCTTTTTGGTATGAAATCTCTAGAGATAAGTTACCTAATACATGTCTTGGAATGAAACATTCCCTGAGATCTAATGGATAAGATTAAGGATAGGTTTTGTTACGATTATCTATAGCAGCAATAATATGTGGGAAAACTAGCTTCATGGACACTCATCTTCAACAGAACACAACATGAGTTTCTCAAATTAAATCTTCTTTCTCTATCTCCAATGGAATCACACACTACTGAACCAAGCAACCACGAGGCCGAGACAGAACCAACAGAGTTCGAGAAGAATCAGAAACGGTACAAAGACCTAATCGCTACCTTTCCTCACACGAAAGGCTGGAGACCGAAAGGTTCGTTGATAGAGTACCATGGTTTCTGGTTCGTACAGCCGCTCTTAGAAGGTTGCCTTCACGAGCAAGAGTTCTTCCAAGCAAGACCCATTGACTTCCTCATTTGTAGCTCCGCAAAGACAGGTACCACTTGGCTCAAGGCTCTAACTTTCGCCATCGTCAATCGAACTTGCTTCGACGATTCCTCAAACCCTCTCCTAAAACGTAACCCTCACGAGCTTGTTCCTTTCATTGAGAACGAATTTGCTTTCTTCCCTCAAGTTGATGTTATCAAAGACAAAGGAAACACTCTGTTTTCGACTCATATCCCGCACGGGTTATTACCAAAATCTATAGCGAACTCCGGTTGTAAGATGGTTTACATTTGGAGAGACCCAAAGGACACTTTCATCTCCATGTGGACTTTCTTCCAAAAGCAAAGGTCAGACATTGGCCCTCTCAATAGTCTTGAAGAGTCTTTTGATATGTTTTGTCGAGGTACTTCTGTGTACGGTCCTTATCTAGATCATGTCATGGGGTATTGGAAAGCTTACCAAGAGAATCCAAATCAGATATTGTTCCTCAAGTACGAGACAATGAGAGCTGATCCTTTACCGTATGTGAAGAGATTGGCTCATTTTATGGGTTACGGATTCACAGCTGAGGAAGAGAAGAAAGGTGTTGTTGAGAAAGTTGTGAATCTTTGCAGTTTCGAGACGTTAAAGAATCTTGAAGTGAACGAAGGAGAGAAAATCAGAGAGGACATTCCTTCGGTTCATTGGCCGAATAGCGCGTATTTCAGGAAGGGAATGGTTGGAGATTGGCACAACTACCTGACTCCGGAGATGGCAGCTCGAATCGATGGACTGATGCATGAGAAATTTAAGGGCTCTGGTTTGCTTGAACATGATATAGATGACTGATCATTATATGCTTCTTTTTCTAAGTTTGATTCTATGTGTGTTATGTTATATATTGGCGAGAATAAATCTTGTATCTGTTTTGTCTTAATGTACTGTTTCTATAAACAAAGGAATTGGTTTTGTAGCCATTCATCTTTGAACTTGGAACTAAAATTTTAAAAATGAAAATTTTCATTGAACTGTTACAATTAGTAGCTTTTTATCTAAACCAAAACACCAAAAAAATCCAAAAAACAATGCACCACTAGATTAGATAGTAGACTAAACAGGACATGATGATAAATCAAGTATAGTTGGTCAAATCAAAGGATCAATGTTGAAATCAGTAAAAACAATCATCGATGTGTAGATTATCCTCCATGTTCTTTAACAAACTTGCAGAAGCAGAAGTTTCACCTTCGAATTTGGTAATTTCATTTGTGTCTTCGTTGCTAAGCTGAAGAACCTCCTTCCCTGCCTGATTAATCACTAAACTTCCATCTCTTTGATTGCTCTTCACGGCATCATCTAATCGTAACCTCACATTGTTCAACATCCTCGAAACCGCGTCGATCGCCTCTTTCAACTCGTCAACGTTCTCCAATCTGTCAAAGGCTTGGTCTTCCCACCAAAACCCTAGCCCTGATCTGTTGTTCTCTTGGTTTGTCGGAAGAGGAGGCTGATTGTGAAGGAGAGAGGAGACAACGTGATCGACAGAGGAATGACCAAAAGAGTAGAAAGAAGCATGAGAGTTGGAAGAAAGAGGAGTCGCTAAGATTGCTATTTGAGTGCCGGGAGAGAGGAGACAGAGCTCTGAAGCTTTGCGGAAGAGACCGTTTCTGCGTTTTGTGAAAGCAACTGATCTCATGTTCTTGTTTTCGATAGGCTTAATCTCTATCTTTCGTTTTGTGCCTCCCATATTGAAACTTCAAAGAAAGAAAGCCAAATTACACAGACAGATCAAATAGACAGAGATTGTTTTCATCGTCCCTCGCTTTATATATACTACTATACTCTCTTCCCATCTCTCAACGTTTTACATTTTTTTTGTTTCCATTATTGATCTTATTCTCTATTCAGAAAATTTCCATAATGGGTTGTTTCCTAAGATTACCAATTTTTTTTTTTGAACTATTTTAGTAAATACATAAAATTACTTTTTTTTTTCTATTCGTTTTTCCTTTTTTTTTTTAAATTCCTACAGACTAATTTTAGGTACAGTTTTGATTAAAATTAATTTTAAACGTAAACCCAAACTGGTACCCAAAATTAATTTTTTAATCTCCGTTCTAAGTGAGTATGTTTGCATTCTCCCATCTGCCAAAACCCTAACCTTAAAGGTGTTTCTTGGTATTGTCTCTTTTTTTCCTCTGTTATGTCGAGTGGCTGCCTACAATGCGAGAATAGACAAAAGACATTTACGGATCGTGGATTGAGAGAAGATAACCCATAAAAATTAGGGGTTTGCAATATCAACTTAACTAAAAGGAAAATTTGTCACGTGATCTAAAAAGGTTGGTCTAAATTGCATGAGTATTAGCGTATATAAACAGTTGCAGAATATGACATATTTAACATTAGCTCATGAGACATGGCTTATGTATAAAGGTTTTTCTTAACCTAACCCTATATTATTTCCCGGTCCTTATTATCTCTGGCCAAGGGACTATAGGCAAATATATTGCTTGAATCACTATTTTGTAACTATAGATTGTTTTAAAGTTTTTTTTGGGTAACTTTAAAGCTTATGAACCGTGTTACTTTTTGTTCTTCACTGCCTTTTTGTGGGACTGACTCGCAGTCCAGTCGGGATCATCATTGTCTGCTACATTCGGGCAAATGTTCTCGTCTCTTCTCCTCTTCCCTGAACCGGGACCGGTTTTGTAGTGGTCGTTGATGGTTGAATATATGGTTTCCAATAACCGATCTCCGTATTTGCTCACCTTGGCTCTGTTTAGAGTTTACAAGACCAAAACCCCCCTGAGTTTTCTTCATACCTTTGGTTAGACAAAGAGAATAGAATTCAAAAAGCTTCAAGATACTTACTTTCCTAGACCATTGATATCAAGGAGTTCCTCTTTGTTTCTGGGAAGTCGTTTACTTATCTGCTCAAGCGTCGCTTTGCTACAAACACAGATTTTTTTTTTATTACTTATGATCTGAGAAGAAATGTCATTAAAATGGATCATGAACTTACCCGAATATATGATATGCCATGACTCCATCTGAGGATTCTTTGACAATATCAGAACGAAGCTTTTTCAAGGCTGTCAACAAAATGTGGGAGAGATTCTAGCCCGACATTGAGACAAATTAAGCAGCCTTTAGCAATTTAGAGTGCTGGTTTAATCATTGAGCAAGAAAAGGAAACAAGGATACAAGAAGGTATACCGAATCTTGTGGGGCAGCTTTTGCCATTGGAAGAGTAGTTTGCTTTAGTGTAACTTTTGCTATGGATTTGCTCGGCTTTGATGCTTTTATGGTCGAAGGAAACCTGTAACAGATCTGTAAGTTTGCTAAAACTAACCTTTATCAAAACGAATTAACATATAACAAAATCTATTAGCCCTCTCAAAAATATAGAACAATGAATAGCAGCAATAACATTGCAGTAAGAACAGATAGATTTCAATACATTTCCCAACGTTTGAGCTACTAATGACATCAATTTGGTTGCAAGTAGTTTGTGAACATTAAAGAAAGATATATCTCGAGTGTAAAGTCAAACCTCATCGTTATACTCTGGCCTCCAGATAAGAGCGAGGCAGCCTTTGATCTATTCACCTATACAAAATGATAGATAAATGGATGTTACCTGTATACACATATACATTTGTACACAAACACATTCATTGTTAAGCATAATTTAACCAGAGAGAAAAGCGCAAAAAGCAATATGTTACCAGAAACAAACCTCCAGCAACAATGATACATATCCACTAAGATCTCTTTTACAACATCAAACATAGTAAAAACCGAAATAGGAATTATTTGTACCTTCAGCAATGACGATACAGATCCATACAGATCACTTTTTCTAACACCCTCTGCCAGAATATCCTCTGTCACAAGATAGTGCAAAATACGAGAGGCTTCACTTTTAGTTAAATGCTTTCCTGCTCCGTGGAGGTGCAAAGTCTCTTGTCTGTTTCTCTTGACCTAACCAAAAGCCAATTACTTGCAAGTGAGTGAAACTGATAGGATTCATGGGCTTGAAGAATGAAGATCAACCAGCGAAATAAAGTAAAAATGATTTATGAGGTATAAATGGTTATCAGGTTCTGGAAATAGAATCAAGATAAATGTTAGTAGTGCATACCGACTGGTTTAAGGATCCCCTGTAGACTTCTACAATATGAGCTGACGAAAACCTTTCTCCTGTTAGCTTAACCAGTTCCACCTATCCAGCCACAAAAGATTGACGTACGTCACTGGTACAACATCCAGCAGGTAAAGTACATGATGAACTTCAGATGAATCCTATACCAGTTGCCTAGCAATCACAGTTACATCTTTGTCAATCAATATTTTGCTGCTGGAACAATTATCACATGTGTTTTTGCAGTTTGTTGAATCAAATTTTTCTCCCAAATGAACTAGCTGTAAGAAACGTCGACAATCCACCTCATTTTCACAGTAACTAACCTGAAGCAGCAAAATTTGGAAATATACATCAGCAAGTAGAGTTAGAACTTTGAAGGCAAACACAGGGAATCTTGCCAATAGATACCATGCGGAGAAGGTTTTCCGTGTTCGTTTCGAGCATCCTCCCTGAACTTGCTTTACAATTATATCCCATTTTCATCTGGCCTTGGCCAAGTCCTCCTTGGCTAATCATATGCTTCACTCGAATCTGAAAAAATTTGTAACCACAAACATGACCAAGAGCGTAGGTATTCCCCCAGAGTAGTAACTTGATAGTGCCAGATTTATGCAACTTACATAATCAGTGTAACTGTAATACAAAACACATGATGACCTCTGGCCGTCTCTACCAGCACGACCACATTCCTTGCATGAGAACAAAATTAGCCTATGTGAATTTCTAGCTATTATCAGGTTCTACTCGATTGATGTAAAATCAGTTTACTAGGATATTCATAATTCAGTGTTCAGTAAAACACCTGATGATAGCCTTCAATGGACTTTGGTAGAGAATGATGAATTACAAAACGAACATCAGGCTTATTGATTCCTGAAATACCAACATTAGCAGGTAGCAAACTTCAATCAATCAAATTGGTTATAACAGAGACCATTCATTACCCATTCCAAATGCCACTGTAGCACATATTATATTGATTTCATCCTTGCTCCATTGTTTCTGTACAAAGGCACGTTTACCAGGATCCATACTGCCATGGTAGAAGGCCGCTTTATGGCCAAACGCCTGAAATAGGTACGCTCACAATATGTGAAAACCTCCTTATTAAATAGATACGAGAAAGGCAAACAAACGACCAACCCGCAACGTTTCCGTGACTTTTTCGCAGTCCATTCTTGAAAGACAATAAATGATGCCACATTCATCAAAATGGTTTTCCCGGATAAACTTGTCAATATCTTCCAGACACTTATTTGTCTTGGGAACAACAGAATACCTGAAAAAAATTTAGTAAGCAACATTCTGAACGCAGAATTCGTTTAAGCTATTTTCAGTACATTACCATAGATTAGGGCGATTAAAACTTTGCCGGAAAACAACACAGTTTACCAGCCCGAGAGCTTGTACAACATCTTCTTTTACGCTGGCTGTTGCAGTAGCTGTTAAAGCTAACATGGGAATGTTAGGAAACTTCTGCTTCAGAACACCAAGACCCTGCATATTGCAGCATTGTTTTAAGAGATAAAAAAGGAAGGTTATGTTTCTTAAAAACAGAAATGTATAAGCAATGTCTGTATTAAGCTTTAAGGAGGCTTAACCTGGTAGTCTGGTCGAAAGTCATGCCCCCACTGACTCACACAATGAGCTTCATCAATAACAAATCGAGCAAGCAAACTACGGGAGTTTAAGATTTCGAGGTGCCTTAAAAGGGATTCACTTCTGTAGTCAAGAAAGAGAAGCTTCTCAGCTTGATGTTACTGGTACTATTTTCACGATAGGAAAGACTTGCAATACTTACATTCCTAGAACTATACGATGTAAGACTTTGGTTAAATTCTATCGAGAAACTATTGCAAGTATCCAATGCAATAATAAATTTCAACACCAGCTAGTATAGTTTAACCCAGAAAAATCTAGTAGCAGGGGAGAATCTGATGGGAGTTGAGCCCAAATCAAGCCTACAAAGACTCTTGGGCAATAGTCACAGTCACCACAAAAGATAGCTTAAGGGTATGAATGTTCTTATGCCTTATAAGGCTTTAATTTGTTCCACTCCTATCCGATGGGGATTTTTGAATACCCACATTCTTTTCAGAATCAACAACTAAAGAAAATAATGACTCACTTTGCCACTTTTTCTGGTGTTACATACAGTAACTTGTATTTAGAATTCTCAGAGCTCAGCTCCTGAAGTATCTCTAGTTGTTCAGCCCACTCCATTCCGGCACTTAAGGAAGCAGCAGATATATTGGTCTATAGCCATGATTCAGAAGCCAAAGTGTTAATCAGGACAAATTTTCTGATTTCAACATAGAAATGAAACTGAAGACAGAAACAACATTTTGGGGTTGCTGAAGTTCTCACCTGCAATAAGTTCATTATCTGGTCTTGAATGAGTGAAACAAGCGGAGAAATGACTAATGTTATTCCTGCACAGAGTAGAGCAGGGAGCTGCAGAGAAAAAGATGTTATGAAGACGTTTTGATGTCCTAGACGCAAAGCAACTCTTCTGACACTGAAGTATAACCTCCATCAGGACAGAATACTAGCTTATACTTTCACCCTAGAACACAACTTGAAACTGTCATCTCTTTTTAACTGGATATAAGCAAAAATCTGTGTATAGAATAAAAGCCAGAAATAGCTTTTCAAATAAAATTAGATTTCAACGTAACAGTTAAGATGTCGTTACCTGATATGTCAAGCTTTTCCCCCCTCCGGTTGGCATCAAAACAAAAACATCACAACCACTCATTGTAGCATTAATGATCTCTCTTTGGTTGGGTCGAAATGAGTTGTTTCCAAACACTATTTTGTTATAGACCTAATCATTGCAATGGATCACATGAGTACACAGGAGGGATGTAAATAATAGAACAGCGGAAGACAGATAACCAATCACCTCCAGATTTTTCGTCCAAGGCAAATCACGACTGGTCCACTTTTTGTCATTTGAACTCTCGGTATCAGTGACATCTATAACCTCGGAAACAGATTGTTCCCTCTCTACAGAACCAGATGAAATATCATACCTCTCTTTAGAAACTAAATAGTCTCTTGGCATATTCCAGTTATCAGTTACATATCTGCCTTCCGCTGCTGGGCATAAACCACCACATGATTTGTCAGGAGAATCTGTCTGCGCATAAACCACCACATGATTTGTTGTTTGGGGTGTTTCATACTGAATATTATGAGAAGTTGTAGATACCAAACACTGAGATTTTTTCCTTTCTTTATTTTGGATAAGGATCTCGAGCTGCTGGATTTGCTTTTTCAACAGTAACCTAGCAAGTAGCAACGATACAAGTGTCAACAGCTTAGAAACTACGTCAGAACTCAATGTATACTCTCAGTTGTGATGCAATTAACGAGATAACATAAAAAAGCAGACATGTTATCAGATGTTTCCTTATTCCTTACGCCTAATTCCTTCTTGCTGTATAATTTCCCAACAACTTTTCTGTGTAATGTATCACAGCCTAATGAAGAAGCTAAATCATTTTCCAAATAGGACAAAGCAAAGAAAAAGGGAATATAATTGAAGAGTGATGGGAATGCAAACCTTTTTTGACGAAGCTGTTCAACATGATCAGGGCCCAGGTCATAAGTATTGTCGAGGATTTCATTTGATATTGCAAGCAGCGTATCCTTCATTTGTTCCACATGGGCAGAAGCTTCAGGACAAAGCCCTAGCTGCGTGGATACCAAAGCAAACAAAATGAGAAACCCAATTGGTTTATGAAATAACTATGGAGAATATGAGAGAGAATTGGTAGCATACCTTTATTCCATGACTACAGTTGGAACATAATTCAGGAGGCAAACCTTGCTCTTCTTCTCTTCTGGAAGCAAATATATCCACAAACTTAGATACTGATGGTTGCTTGGTACACGTTGAAGGGCAGTGGTCCATCACAATCTGATCCACGTCAATAATCTGCGCTCCAAAGTTAGCACATGTTGGAGTTAATCTATACCGTTATTCGGCACAAGTAATTACGAAAAGATTTCATTTTAGTTCACTGAAAATTGGTCCAAAATCCAAAGCTAGCTGTAAATATTACCTCCATTATGTCATCATAATCAATCTCACCAAGACTAGCTTCCCTAGGCTCCACCGGTCTGGCTAGGTGTGCGGAATTTTTGATTGGTGGCATCTCCATACCATTTGTATATTTACAACCAGTTACTGAATCTCTAACCTCATCATTGACCCGTGGAACCTTGCCAATAGTTATTTTATTATCACCTACGGAAGAGGATGAGAAACTGTCAAATGATTTTGCAGTGCCTCTTACACTCCTTTGACTATGCTCTGGATGATTGTGTGCATAGAAAGATCCATCAGCACTGGATGTAACTTTAACAGTGGATCCTTTCGTAGATGATGAACGATCAGTGCTGCCATCAACAATTGCAGGAGTAATGCCAGGTCTCAGGTAAGTATTATTTATTGAGAGATTTATAAGAGTACACCACGCCTGAAAACATTGGATAGCAACTCAAGTTATATATGTGTACAATGATTGAAGAAAGGTCTCTGCCAGGGGAAGATCAATCCCGAAAAAACCAGAGTTCAATTGCAACGGTGACCTAAATTGTCTACTCAGAGACAGGAAATGAAAGAAGAACAACACTATAGACTAAAAAATCCTCCACAACAAACATGCTGAAAGGATTGGACTAAGTCAATATTCAATTACAATCAAAGTTTTTCCTTCAACTATAGTACCTTTTCAATTTCTGGTCGTGCCAAAGTTTGCACAGTTACAGGAGCGATGTTTTCAATAGACCTAGACATAGAGAGAAACAAGTTTTTTCAGATAGCCGTAAACCACTTCAGCTAAAAGACTGATACATGAAGACAACTGAGGAAACCTCACAAGAGTTTCTACACTGTATTGTTACTAGAAAAATCAAAGGATGATATGATGAACAACTAGCTCTTTTTTAACTGGAGGTGTTAGAAGTAACTGAAGAATAAATCCATACATTGGACTAGGGGATTTTCACTCATAAAGAAGTAGGCTTATTCTAGTTCAAGATCACCTATCTCCAGAATCAGAACAAGCAATGACACAAGTTCAAACGATGCTGGAAAAGCTAGATGTTACAGCGTGGTGAAAACACTATCTTTGAAGTCAGCGGAATTAGTTATAAGTTATCTTCACTAGTAACCAAACTGGATACAAAAACGCAAGAAAAACATTAAAAGACAGAAAGAGCTGATTGTTCCTCAAAAGAACATAATGCATTACCTTGCAGCCATTTCTCTATCTCTTCCCAGCTTTTGACTTTCTAGAGAGTAAAGGAAATTGGAGCCCATAAACTTATTCAAGGATGGTATACACTCAAAAGCCTTGGCATGTTTCGACCAATTTGTTTGAGGAAAGTGACCTCTGGATTTATTAACTTCAGGGAGATGACTCCCACTGCATTTAAACAATCAGGAAGATTAGAACAAAAGATCCGTGAAAGGTTATTTATAAAACCAAAATGGACAGGGATAAGATCACTTTTGCCTCATTTTAATCATAGATTTACATGCTAAAGAGCTTCCAGCAATTTGATCTCCTCTTGTCACCACCATTTACTGTACAAAAACCAAAGAAGTGGCATGGTGATTAGTTGAATCTGATGGAAATTGTACCAAAAACTGCAGAAATTGCATACTATCACCAACTGGAACATTCCGAATTTGAGCTGTGATCTATGATCGCTATGAAAACTACAATGCTACTCCACAACGAAATTGACGATAAATTTCATAATCTCGGCATAGGAAATCGAAGAACTCACCAAATCCAGAAGCTAATCAACTAGGAGATGAAGCGATCTGCTATGACTAACGAAAATTCCTCTTTACAAACACAACACCGATCAAAACACTCAAAAATTAGCATCGGTGAGAGAAAAAAGCGAACAAAAAACCCTAGAAATGACTGGGAAACGGGAAGATCGAGATTACATTTTGAAATCGATGAAACTCTCTTGCTTCTGCGGCGGAATAGTAAGAATCCGGCGGCAAAACTTTTCCGGTAAGATCTTGAGGCGAGAGAGAAGAATGCGTCTCCAATTACAGCATTCTGCGATTTCCGTATGGCGGGATAGTTAAAAAGGTTCACTCTCCTCTCACTCTCACACACACATGACACAGACATCAAAAACAAATATATTTTGAATTTTAAATAAATTAATTCCATATATCCGTTTTAAATCCATATTTTTTAAAACAACAACGATAAATTTGAAAAAATATAACATGATAAAATACTCAAAATAGTATTACACGAGATTTCAATTTTACAAGTTAAAAAATGTTGTAATTTTTTTAATTTGAGCTCTGTTGTATATGAAAATTAATTAGCAAGAAAAACCAATGCACTGATTTTTTTTCTTAATTTATTATTGTTTATGTAAGCCTAATTTTTTAAATAAAATATTCGGATATTAGATTTCAGATTTTTTGTGACTTTTATTTGAGAATTTAAACATTTTTATTGGAGTTTCTAGAGAGTTAAGAGATTCCGTGTTAAATTATTGATTAAACAAAAACGTTAAAAAGAGAAGTGAAAAGATGTTTTTCTTGAATAACTTTTAATATCTAGATAAGAAATTTATTTGACACTGTCATCTACTTATTAGTCTATTTTCTGATGCCAAATACATGTCTGGAAGTATCTGCCATTGGTTGTAGTTTGAAAAATGTGTCATCAGAACAACGTAAAAGTCCTTCGGTAAGAATCGGAATCTCTTCCTGCAGAGACATTGAAAAGCCCAGCATTGTTGAAGATAGCTCGCAGTTCGAAGGCTGTGAGCTATCTCAACCTAAACACATCCACAACAACCTGAACCTGAAGATTTATGCAAATGTATGATTAAACTTTCAAATCCGCAACAACCTGAATATCTATGCAAAGGTAAGTTTAAACTTTAGAGAAAATCTATTAGGTCCGTTCAACAGAGATTTAAATTGAATCTTAGCTAGATTCCTTCCTATTAGCTATTTGATTTGATTTATTGAGAGATGTGGATTTTGTATTAAAACAGATACGAGAGTGAGAGATTTAAAATTGGCACCTGGGTCAATCATGTTCAGTACAAATGGATTGATTGGCTGCAAGTTTTAATATTTAGATGTCTCAAAGCTAAATTAACTAAATTAAAATATCAATATTTTAATATTTAGATACTTAGAAAAGATTGTAACCAATGAACATGCTCTTACAACTTAAACATACACATGATTTGGAAAAAAATCATGCGATATAGTGGGAAAAGATACAAGAAAAATAATGTCAAATGATAAGTAAAATTATCTAAGAATAACTTGTTGCATCATCATTACTATTTTTCTAATTTGCCTTCACACTATTGTCATTGTGCAAATAAAGATCAAATTAAGAAAAAAGGAAATGAATTGTGAATATTTCAAACACAATTGCATATGTAGTTCTCGAAATATCTCTGAACCGCAATCACGGTTCAAAAGTCTCTAATCTCACATGAGATGGCGTGTATATGCTTCACGTAGAAACTAGCCATCTAAATATATGCATGGTGACAATCAAATCCGACATTCCAAGTTTGATGAATGTCTTTAAACAAAATTGGCAAATACCCGCCTAAGCTCAATTTTACGAGAAGTATTTTTGTTTGATTGACTGTCAATTTTTGAGGAAGAACTTCTGACATGAATCTGGATACACTTGGTAAATACTTTTCTTTAGATTAACAAAAGCACAAAAGCGTAGATGATTGACACCGATCATAAGATGTGCACTTGTAAAATCTGTGGAAGCATACCCTATTACAATATGTGATTTTCTTGGTTTCTAACAGACCCGAGATAATGGAACCACGCACACTTTCGGATGTAACGGATGATATATAAAAATAACAGTATAAGATTTATTCATTAACAAATGTGGTTCTAATAAAACACACTAAAAAATGCATAATATGATGTTCTAATTAGTGGTACACAATTGCATATGCATGTCTCTGGATATTTTTGAAATGTATTCACAATTCATTTAAGTTTTCTAATCTCACATGAGATATCATTTAAGTTCTCTAATCTCAGCTGAGATAGCATTTAAGTTCTCTAATCTCACATGAGATCTAGTCATATCAATATATGCATGATAACATTCAAATCCTGAAAAAAGTGAACTCTGAAAATTTCAAATTACACACTAAAAAGACCATATAGTATACAAAATATTTTATTTAAGGTCGCGATGCCCAAACCGAACTTATCATCAACCAGTCTGTTCTTTCTTCTACTACAAATTTTACAAGATTTTCAAAAACAAAATCCCAAAGCATTTATGAGACGAACCTTATGAGAAGATGTCGACAGACCAACGAAAACTTTTTTTTTTTTTTTTTGGTTTTAGAAAACTTTCTTGAAAACAAAACCAATCTTTTATTGTGTTTTAACTGACTCGGACTTCTTCCATGCTAGCATGCACTTGCTTCACTGTCTTATCATACTCATCTTCTTCGTCTTCTTCTTCTTCTACTTCCTCAACCTCTTCCTCCTTGCCCTCGGCATCTTCTTCCCCTCCCCACCCAAATACTCCAATCGATCGAGAAACAGGAGCTGGAGTTTTTGCCTCTTCCACAATCTTCATGATCTCTTCGACACTTTGGAGCGAGAATGTCGGGTTCTCTTTACTGAAGTATACAGCTTGAGCTGTTTCTGTAAGTTCCCTTGGCAGGTTCTTTAGGAACCATGGATGTTTCTTGATCTCAGCTATCCTAATCCTCTGCAAGAAAAATGATAAATTACACAAGTAATTATCTCACAAAGGATGGCCAAGCTTTTCGAGAGAGTGATACCTTATTCGAGTTGGCGACAAATATACGGGAGAGGAGATGTTTGCAATCTTGTGAGATATGGACATAGTCCGGGATCTTGTACTTGACAGCCATTATTCTCTGTAACAATGTGGCACAACGATTAGTGGGTCATGTCATCTCTTAAAGCAAAGAGTGCAAAAACAAAGAAACCTACTTGTATTGTTTTTTTGAAGTTTTTAGGATCCTCTTGGTCTTCAAATGGGTATGCTCCCACCAGCATGACATAAAGAGTCACACCACAAGACCATACATCAGCCATCTGAGTGAGAGAAAAAATATAAGTACCAAACGCTGATGATTTCTGTGAAGTTGATGTTTCCAAATCCAAACAATAAGATCATAACAATTGCATAGAGCATATGGGTCAAGATAAAATATGTAAAACAACACATCCTGGTCCTGGATAATTAAAAAGACAAAATTCTTTATCAACTACTTAATAAACGACTGCCCAAATCTATCACGGCCACAGCAGATATCTGCCAAGATGGGGCTTATCTCTGCCTTTCTTGATGTATAAAAATATTATGCATGAGCAAAAGTTGAAAGAGCTACATTACTACGCAGGAAGAATTTTTCAAACTATGATGTCTCTATCAAGAAGCTAAGCACACTTGATATACTAATACTTGCAAACCAATAAGATTACCTTGCCATCATACTCTCCGCGAGAAAGAACCTCAGGTGCAATATATGCTGGAGTTCCAACAGTTGATTTGGGCATAGAGTGCAACAGTGAGGACTACAAAAGAAGAAAAATAGCTCACATGAAAGTGACAAGGGCCCTCGCAAATGGAGGGAAAAAGAAGAAGAAGGAGCTTGTTACGACAGGATAAAGTAAGAAATCACTAGCACATTCAAGTGCATGCTGGCGATATATGGCAGACCTTGGAATAACCAAAATCACAGATTTTCAGGCGTGGAGCAGGACTTCCATCCAAGAGGGTATTTTCGAGCTTCAGATCTCTATGGCATATTTGCTGGGACAATAAGGAAATAATGTGAATACAGGACTGATACCCTGAATATCTGTGAAGTTAAAAAAGAAAACTTTGTAAGCCATCTGTATCCCTTACCATAGCATGGCAATAGCTGACTCCAGATATAAGCTGCTGGAAAAAGTATCTTGCCTGTAAGAAAAAAAAACGATGTGCACAAGAAATTTGAATATCATAATCAAAGAAGCTGCTCCAAATGATTTACAACACATACTCTCTCAATTAATCTCAGACCACAATACAAGTCTGAAATTGATAATTTAGCTCACCTCATCCTCACTGAATCTTCCAGCACTACATATACGCTCAAATAACTCACCACCAGCAGCAAATTCCATAGCAATGGCGATGTGTGTTGGTGTCAAAACCACCTGGAAAATGCCAAAGATCACTTCCGGTGAGACTTTTCTACATAGATTTAGCTGTAGAAAATGCACGGACTTACCTCCTTAAACCGGATTATATTGGGATGACGAAGTGATCTATGATTAATAATCTCTCTCGCCACGTTCTCATCAATCTATTCACCATAACAAAACCAAAAAAAAAAAAAAAAGGTTCAAAATTTACATAATCAATCTTTGAACACACACACACACACACAAAGTAAGAATCCCAGATAAACAAAGCAAAAACACTCCAACTAGCAATTACATACACATACATGTACAACAAAACTAAAATTGAGAGAGGGATATAACCTTAGGGCCACGCTCGATGTACTTCATAGCAACGAGTTCTTTAGAGTTTTTGACTCTCATGAGCCTAGCTACTCCAAAATTCCCAGCACCGATGTCTTTAACAAGCTCGTACTTGTCCATTATCTAGTAGCGAAATCAAACAACACAAACCCAAGAAAAACAATTCCCCCAAAATCTCCAAGTGAAAATTCAAAACCCAGAAAGTGAAGGGAAAGCGATTCAGAGGTTTTTCGCGATTACTAAAAAAAGGCACAAAGTGAAAAAAAAAAATGGAATTGGAAGAGAGATTTTTGAAAGCAAAAGCGAAATTGTCGATATCCTTTTTTCTTATCCGTGAAGAAATTCTAAGAGAAGAAGATATGATTACGATTACAATGATGATGATGATGATGATGCCGTAATAATCTCCATCGTTCCTTGCTGGCTTCTTCTCACGAAGTCACGATGGCTCTTATTTTTTTTTTTTTAATTAGTAGTTTTTTTTTTTTTTTTGGACAAAATATTTTTTGTTTATTATTTAATATTTATTAAAGGGAATTTGACTAAATCTACCACATTTTGAAATGTGGCATTCCAAATCTACCACATTTGGGAAAAGCTTTCCAAATGTACCACATTTTGTTGTCACATGCCTAAAGCCGGACGAATTTGCCCTTGATGGAGAGAGAAATGTGTGTCAGAGAAAGGGACAACTTGGGACAAGAGGGAGCAGTCTGCATTTAATGTTGCACGTTTACAATTGCTCTCTTAATATATTAGACAATATTAAATTAAAATCGGGGACAAGTTCATATGGAATGAGTAATATAATTAGATCGGGGACAAGTTGAGATCGAATGAGTAGTATAATTATATCGGGGACAAGTTCATAGGAATGAGTAATATAATTAGATCGGGGACAAGCTCAGATCGAATGAGTAATAGAATTAGATCGGAGATAAGTTCATATCGAATAAGTAATAGAATTAGATCAAGGACAAGTTCATATCGAATGAGTAATAAAAGTAGATCATGGACAAGTTCAGATCGAATGAGTAATATAATTATATCGGGGACAAATTCATATGGAATGAGTAATATAATTAGATTGGGGACAAGTTCATATCGAATGAGTACCAGAATTAGATCGAGGACAAGTTCAGATCAAATGAGTAATAGAATTAGATCGAGGACAAGTTCATATGAGAAGAAACCCAGATCTAGATGTGTAGCCGATTTAACGTCGTGGACCAAAACTATATAATTGATAAACTATTTTCAAACCCAAATTTAGATTTTGAATGAGTAATATCGAATGAGTACCAGAATTAGATCGAGGATAAGTTCAAATCAAATGAGTAATAAAATTAGATCGGGGACAAGTTCATATGAGAAGAAACCCAGATCTAAATGTGTAGCCGATTTAATGTCGTGGACCAAAACTATATAACTAATAAACTATTTTCAAACCCAGATTTAGATTTTGTAGGAGAGAAAAAATCATGTGAAAAGAAAAAGAAGAAGAAAACTTCATAGATATATATTTAAAAAGAAAAAGAAAAAATATAAGTGAGAGAAAGAAAAAATAATGTGAGAGAGAAAAAGAGTGAGAGAAAGAAAAGAAAATAAAAAATTTAAAAAATAAACATAAAGAGAAAGAGAAAGAGGGCAAAATAGTAACTTCCCATAACAAATGTGGTAGGATTGGAAAGGAATTTGAAAATGTGGTAGATTTGGAAAGAATTGGGAGAAATGTGGTAGATTTCTTAGTTTTTCCTTTATTAAACAATTTTGTTAATTTAAGAGTTATTATATTAATAAATATGGGACCCACAAATTCCAATTTAATCGGTTCTTTAGTGACTGAGACGTCGCTATATGTGAAAAGGATATTTTAGTTCTCACAGAATTGCGTCTATACTTTCTTTATTATCTTCGCTTACTTTTTTCTGCAATTTGCCGATTCTACGAGAACATCATTTGTTTATTGGATATGCTTATAACTCAAGATTGCTTTACTAATTCTCTAGTGTCTTTACAAGATTTGGAGATTATTTTGGATTTTTAGCTAAAAATATCCAGTTACCGAAAAATGAGATTATTTGGATTTTTTACATGAGAATATTTAGTTACCGAAAAATAAGATTAGATAAACTACAATTGTAACTGACGGTTAAAAGTTAGAAAGCTATATAAGTTATAACGAATCTGAATATGATTTATCTTGTTGGATTATCTTGATATGTTTTTGCTTCTTATGGAAAGATTCGATTTGGAACAACTTCTGAATTAACATGAAGAAAAACGTAATTAAACATTGACTTGTTGGTTATTGGTAGAATGGTTGGTTTATACTTTCCGAATGTCGCTATGTGAAATCACATTTTGATTAAAGATATAATTTTAAAATTGCAAAATTGTTAGATTTGTTAAAGTAATGGTAGGTGCTGCAAACAACATAAACTCTCCTATATGTTAACTAAAAAAGCAACAAATTTGCTAACGTTGAATGATGGATAGTTGTGAAATTTGTTTAAGCTAACCCAACAAAACAAATAAATAACGGATAGATGTTGAGAAAAAAAAAACATTTACGATTAAATTTTGGTAATGGGCTTTCTGATTTTAAGGCCCAATGGATGAAGTAAGGCGAATGCCGATTCTAAGAAACGTAATTCTAGCAAGTGTTTATCGACTGTGTTGTAGGTTTCTTCTGTTCGTGGCACTATGGATTAGGTTTTGAAATGGTTTCTAATTCGTTGATTTGAGTGGCCTAAGTCCAGTTGTTGCTTGGGGCAATCTGTTTAATGTACAAACACTTACACCGTTAGTAAATTATGTCATGGGTTTGGTAACAATCATTGGCAATGGATGTTATCTGGTATGATTATTTATTTGTTAATTTGCAACATGTAGTGAAGAGGAACGGGGCTGGAATATGCTTGCAATTCCTTCTTAGATCAACATTTTGATGATGATATCTATGTTATCTAGATATGTTACTTAGATATGAATATATGATAGATACATCATTTTTTTTAGGAGATCTCACCCACTTTTCTTTACCTAAATTAAAATTTTAAGTCATTTTTTAATTTAAAAATAATAAAAACTTTTTTAACAAATGTTTATAAAAAATCCGTATATGCAGCTTTCTAAAGATGATTTACTGGAAATATAGAAAGAGCATGAAAATCAACCAATAAATAGTAGACAAATAAAAGCGTGATCTGAGTGATCTGAGTAAGCAGAGCTAAATAGTGATGTTTGAAGTTTTCGACGACTTTTCTTCTTTCCAACATTATGCCAAGAGGTTAGTTTTCACCAGATTACACCCCATTCAAGCAAGTAGGACCTCTTCCTCGCAGAAATTATTCATATACTACAAGGTCGCCATTAAAAGCATGATTGAAGGTAGAGTTTATGTGTGTTTGTGCAATGAATCTCAACCAATGTCAATATTCACTCGTCGATTTGGTATACATTCTATGTAAACTATATGTTCAATAGAGTAGATATTTCAGTAATTAGGTTTTCATTTCAAAAATGATATTATTTTAGTTTTATATAATGTTAGACATTAAAATATATGATTTTCCAAGAAATGATACTGTGAAAATGGTTTGATTCGGTTCGGAACTCATACCCGGCCTAGATATGATGGTACAAGCAGTCCACACCTTTTATGATTCATTTTAGTGGAACAAATGAAGAGGTATTTTAGACGATACAAACAAAGTCCGAATAGTGTGTGAGCTGTCCCAAGTGAGACCACGTAATACTCACCTCAACAAGATAGTGTTTTTAAAGTGTGTCAAACACAATCACACACACAAAACTCAAAAAGCACAAAGACGATAATCCAACAATCCACACAATAAACGCCACGTGGCAGATAGGATTCTCACTAGAAAAATCTCACCTTTTAATCTTTCTCCACGCCATTTCCACAAGCCATAATCCTCAAAAATCTCAACTTTATCTCTCAAAACACAAAACAAAAAAAATGGCTTCCACTGCTCTCTCAAGCGCCATCGTCGGAACTTCATTCATCCGTCGTTCCCCAGCTCCCATCAGTCTCCGTTCCCTTCCATCAGCCAACACACAATCCCTCTTTGGTCTCAAATCAGGCACCGCTCGTGGTGGACGTGTCACAGCCATGGCTACATACAAGGTCAAGTTCATAACCCCTGAAGGTGAGCAAGAGGTTGAGTGTGCCGACGACGTATACGTTCTTGATGCTGCTGAGGAAGCTGGAATCGATTTGCCATACTCTTGCCGTGCTGGTTCTTGTTCAAGCTGTGCTGGTAAAGTTGTGTCTGGATCTGTTGATCAGTCTGACCAGAGTTTCCTTGATGATGAACAGATTGGTGAAGGGTTTGTTCTCACATGTGCGGCTTATCCTACTTCTGATGTTACCATTGAAACCCACAAAGAAGAAGACATTGTTTAAGCTTCACCTACCAGCTTTTGATGATTTAAAAATCATGTCTTTATAAATTTTACATTTTGGGTTGAGTTTGTTGTTACTAAACTATTGTTATCTGTTGTTATTGTTCCTTGTTTGGCTCACCATCAATGGATGACATTTTAAACTCTGCAACTGCAAATTCTAATCTACATTATCGTTAAACATTGGAAATACAATTTCGTCAAGTCTAGGTACCTATGAGTTTGTAGTTCTTCTTTTGACCTCAACAATCATCAAAGAATCAAGAAAAAACCGATTTGCGAGCAATTGTGAAATCTTAGATTGATAAAACTCTAGAAAGAACTATACATATTGTTGTAGCTATATAGTAGAAACTATGGAATCTTAAGAGTCTAATTAAGCCCAAATGGCAAGGGAAGACATGAGTCCAGCTCCCAGGAACAACATTATGTAAGATACTATCTGAAGCCTAAAGTTACAGCTCATTTTTGTACTCAAGAAATCAGCAGCTATGAGATCCACTAAAGCCATGTAAACAAGAATTCCGGCTGAGAGCGAGTCCAAGATACCTTCAGTGACTAATGCTCCGACGCTGTGAGAATTGAAAGACGACGCTACTGCGGTTCCAATCCCGATCCCTATCGGGGTTGTGAGGGCGAAAAAACAAGCCATAATGGTTGCTGATTTGTTCCTGAATTGCGCTTGGGAGATGCATCCACCCAGTGCAAATCCTTCAAAGAATTGGTGGAAGGATAGTGCTGCGATTAGAGGCCGGATTGTGCAAGGAGACTGAGATACTCCAAGGGATAGACCGATGATTATGGAATGTGACACAATTCCAAGCTCCAGAACCTAACAATATTAGAAAAGTGAGATTAATCAACACAGATTTGGTAGCTTTTTGAAGATAGTAAAAACCCAACTAAGACTGATAAACAATGATATTTGTGTGTGAACCAAGCGGTAATTTGAATCAGAAAAGGGGAACAGAGCTTTTTACCTGCGAAACAACGATATGCCTAGCTCCATTTCCGAGATCCAAACCCCCGTGTGCGTGTCCGTGCCCGTGTCCATGTCCATGTCCATGCCCGTGCCCATGTCCATGAGCATGACCAATGTCAATTTTACTGTGTCCTTCACATGAACCATGACCAGGAGGATGACTATGTCTATGATGAGCAGCATGAGCATGAATGCCAACAATGTGAATCCCACCACTGTCTTCTTCTCCAAACACTTTCTCATCATTCGTTCCTTCTGTAACCAAGGGAACAACAATACCCGGTGATTGTTCACGGCCAGGCGGTTCAACAGACTCACTAGCTTCCCTCTCTTGCTTCCGTTCATAGTACTGCGTCCCCATGAAATCCACAAACAGAGTGATCAAAGCAGCAACCATCGCAAAGAACCCCGGAAACGGAAACTTAGACCAAGGGAAATCTGGTAAGCACGGGTTCTTCAACGCTTCCGTGCCACCAGCCAACATATGAACAAAACCCGTGGCAAGAATCACACCAGCTGCAAAGGCTTTAGCAGTCACAAAGAGATTACCATCGGTTTGAAGGAACCGACGGTTCCTGCCAATGAGTGGTATAGTTACACCTGCAGCTCCAGCTAATAGAATCGAAGCAATGGCTACAAATTTAAGTAGAAACGCAGCGGAATCATCACGGCAAAGGTCTGACTCGTTAGCATTGCAAAGAACATTAGATGAAGTAGCAGCCATTGCCTCAGGAACTATCTGCAAAATGGACTCTGTTGCTGTTTTTGTTAAAACAGAGGACCATTGCAACAAATCAAGTATATCAGAGCAAATTCAAGATTAAATTCGTGAATAATCCTACCAATGGATGAGAAATTGCGAGACTTTGAATCAAACAACATAGAAAGACAACAAAGTACGAATCTTTAAGACAAATGAAATAGTTGATGAAGTGTTCGATGAAATACCTGAGAGAGAATCTGTTTCTGATCCGAACAAGTATAGAGGAACCAGTTTCCAAAGAACCTGAACATGAAAACCCAGAATCAGTTTCGGCAATTCAAAATCACAAATGAAACAATAAAATTCCAAAATGGAGATTGATAGATTACGAACATCGATGAAGAACATTTGGGTCTAAGATGTCCTCGGGATCAGTAAAAACGCAGAATTCTCGCAAACCGAAAACACGAGTGGGAATTAAATATGAGAATCAGACAGAACCATCTGATGTATTGAGACAGAAGCAAGTTGGAGAAAGATACAAGTAATGTCGACATCGTGAGGAACTTTGCAGTTGAGAAACGGGTTTTAGAATTTTAGAGTCTTGGCATAGAAGATACAATTCCCTGAATATTGTAGCCACACGCCAACTAAATGTCGACATTTTTGTGTAATTGCATTTTTTTTATTATTATTTTCTTTTTAATTGTTAAGTACAACGTTGCCCCTAACCAATTTTTTTGGATTGGAAAAAAGTCAAAAACTTTTCTTTGGTTAAAAAAGAAAGTATCCCTACCATGTTAATTACCCAATTTTGGTCATTGAGATTAGGCCTGCTACTTTGATCCGACCCGATTGTACCAACCCGAACCGAACCGATATTTTCGATATTTGGTACTAATCGATTTGGGTTTCGGTTCAATTTGGAGGGATTGAAATCTAGGTTCGGAAACGCAACTGACTACCGATATTTGTTTTTTTAAAAAAATTTATACCAAAATTAAACCGAATTTAACCGATTAAAAAAATCGGTTTAATTCAGTAGAAATTCAAATAACCGAAATAAACCGAACCCGACCCGAATATTTATTCGGTCTACTTCGGATAAATATTTAATAACCCAAAAAAACCGACCCGACCCGAATACCCGAAGTCGCAGGCCTAATTGAGATTCATCGTCAAATATAGATTAAGGAGCTATGAACATATAGTACTTCTCTTTTTTTTTTTTCCTCCAAAAGTGATAGCATAAGAAAATTAAATTAACTGAAGTTATTTTGTTTTAAGTGTGACATATCTTAGGTTATATATCTTAATTTAATTGTGTATGAAACATGAAAAAGAGTGAAGAAACCACCAGAGAATGGGTTGGCCTTAAGAACTGTAACTATCTCCAAAGTCCGAAGTAACTTCTATATTTAAGAGTTTAATCACTCAACCACAATTGACGATGACAACAACACCATTATATCTGAAGAGCAACACACACATTATTTCATAAGTGACCTTGTCAAATGTTCTCTTGCAGTCGCGAGTGCCTGACTTATCGTCTGAAGGAAAAAAAACCGCAGAGAAATGTAACAAGTTCATTAGTTATAGTGTTACTTGAGAGTTCGGATTAATGTAACTTTTTCAAGGTTTGTATCAAGAAGATGTACTTATCAAGAAAAATATGATCACATTTTCGAAATCATGGTACCTGCTCGGATAGAGAAGCGTTAGGGTCAGCGCTATTGATCCCTGCTTTACCTGCGATCACATTTGCGTCCGTCTCCAGAACAATACTGAAATATAAGAGTATTATTTGACTATGTAACCTATGAAACCGTTCATTTATCTAATGGTTCTAGAAATGTCGAAAAGAAGAAAGATATATACCCGCCATCGATAATTTCATCAAAGCACAGGAAGATGAGATCAAGGTTGTCTAGTGCCTCTCTCTTGTCAACGTTGCCTCTGTAATTCGGATTCAGAAGAGAGGAAGGTCGAAATTTGAGCTAAGTTGGGAATGTAGACATAATATAACAAAATCTTCTATGGTTAGACAAACCTAAGGAGAAGGGTCACTGCATCGAAGAGTCCCTCAAGCACACTGGCTAATATAAGCTCATTTTCCTCTTCACCGCCCGTAACAAAGAAATGGAGATCTTGCACAAATTTGTACACAACAATGTTGTTCTCCAATGCTGTCACTTCCACTGCGTATCAAGAACGAACAATTGTAACCGCGAGTTTATGAATGTGTAATATAATAGTTTTGATGAAACATACTCAGCAAGACACTGAGTATCTAAAACATGATTGATTACCAAATCTACCTTCGGTCCGGGCATTAGTTTTCTGAGTCTTGGTGAACACGGATTTTTCGAATGCTTCCTTGGCTGAATTCGTTGGCCAGTCATCTGAGTAATACTTAACCGCTACACGCTTTCCTTCCGAATCCAAAAGCAAAATGTTTTTCACTTTTGGGGGTAATTCCTAAATGTAAAACAAAAACACAAGAAAGCATAAAGATTATGAGATTATGAAAGTAATTGAACATGAATCCGTGAATAGTAACAATCTCTTTCTGAATACTGTACAATTAGCTGATGTGTGAATATTCATCCGAGAATCAAGCGTAAGTTCAATCAAATATCAAGACAATCGCGTATTTTATAACACTTCACCTGAACAATAAGATGGAGGTTACTATCAAACTAATGGTACTCTAAATGAAAAAATGTAAACCAAAGTTAATGGCATGAAATCGAACTTCATAGAAAATGTCTTCATAAGCCTAAAACATTGATCAAATGTGCCATATGTATGATGTATCCCATAATAATCATAAACATAAAAACAAGGTCTTAGGAAACCAAACTGCTAAACAACACTCTTGCTTCTATTCCAAACTTATCTAAAAATATGACATGCCATAGAAACAAAATCAATGCAGCACTACACACATGTTGAACAATACTAAACCATTAATTTTGAAGAATAATCAGTCAAACAAGATCACCAACTCAAACTAGCTCCTCTGCTTTCAAATTAAAGCCTAAAGTTCTGTTTTTTTGGCTATTTACGATCATTCTAAAGAAAGTTAAATTTTTTTATATGAAAAGTTTTCGAAAGATCGTATCTATAGATCCTGTTAATTACTTCGAACTACCCTTCAAAAATTTCACAAACTCGCTGTCAAAGTAAGAACTACAAAATCTGAAATTTGTTACTTATCGCATGCATGTAAATTATTACAAACTCGAAGATAATCTATAGAAACCGAATCGGTGCAAGAGAAACAGAGAAGAAATCGATGGAAAAGAAGATGAATATAGATTCATACCATGGCTTAAGGTGAAGAAATCTGCAGAGAATGCCCTAGAAACTATAAAAATTGAGAAAAACTCTCCTCGACTAAGTAAAGTATGGCAGAGAAATTTTGAAGAAACGTTACAACTTACAAATAGGCAAATTCATATTTCCAGAAATAATAAAATTTTCTACTAAAAATCTAAAACACTTGTTTATTTTTTCTCTTAATTATTTTTTTTTTGGGGTCAAATTTCTCTTAATTATTTATTATTTAATTACTTGCATTTTTCTTCTTCTGGTCAACTTAGTACATTTCGAGCTAGCTGTTTAAGTTCACTTTGTTTTCTTGTGACATCAGTCAACTTGATATTGGAAGCGAAGAATCCAGAGTTTCCATTTTCCAAACGTCGTCACTCGGTCTTGGTTTCTATAAACCGGTTCGTGAATCAGTACGGACCGAGATTTGGGTATATTTGGGCTCTGGATCTTGGGAACGTTAAAACGAGCTTTTACTCGGCCCGTCTCAATCATCCAAAATTCTGTCAGCCCAATGCATGTGCGTCAGCCTCTCAAAGGCACGCCTAATTTTGTTTTTAATCCAAATTGATCAAGATGTTACAAACTTTTAGTCGCTGCGTAAAAATTTGTTGTTGTTGTGAACTGTGTCTTTCATTAATAGAATAAGGGATATATATACAAGGATAATAGCAGGATACAGAGAATAAGGTAAAACCCTAATGGGCCATGGGCCGGTTATGGAGTCCATCCATATGGTTTATAACACTCCCCCTTGGAAGACATAACCGTGCCCGATAGGCCGATACTAAACCGGGATCTCTATAATGCGCTGGGGAATGTTGCCTCATTAAAACCTTACCAGGAAAACCCAGTGGGACAAAACCATGGTGAAGGAAAAAGAGTACAACACGCATTACTCCCCCTGATTCGAGCATCACTGTAGATCCTTAAGTCCGCGCATCCCGATCTGATGAATGAGCTTCCGGAACGTTGAAGTCGGCAATGATTTGGTGAATAGGTCGGCTGAATTCTCACTTGACCGGATCTGTTGAACTTTGACCTGACCGTCCTTCTGTAATTCATGAGTGAAGAATAGCTTTGGCAAAATGTGCTTTGTCCGGTCTCTCTTAGTGTAGCCGTCCTTGAGTTGAGCAATACAGGATGCATTGTCTTCAAATATGATGGTCTTTGATGTAGTAGTAGTTGCGTCTTAAGGAAGGCTGCCTACGTACCCTTGGAAGGGATCAAGCCACACGTAGTTCCTATTCATTGACCATGCCATAATCTGATCTTATGAATAACCTGCATCAGCAAATCAAACTAAACCAAAGCAAACTGGACCTTCTTTGGTTAGATCAGTATAGAATAAACCCAAGTAAACAACGCAAGAAGAATAGACTTTAAAACTTAATCAAACCTTCCTTTAAACCTTTCCAGTGCCTTTGGGTTGATCATGAACTAAATTTAGACAGGAGACTCACGGCAAAACAAATGTTTGGTCTAGTGTGTCTAGCCAAATTCATTAGAACTCCTATGGCACTGAGGTATGGCATTTCCGGACTGAATGGATCACTATCCAATCTGAGGCTTCCACCACCATTGGGCCTGGTCAATGGGCGGGCCTGGTCCTTATTAAATCTCCTTGAGTACTCTTTCAGTGTATGTCATTTGATGCACAAGGATTCCATTATTCACGTACTCAGGTTGTAATCCCAAACAGAACTTAATTATTGCCTAGGTCTTTCATTTGAGATTCTTTCTAAAGATATACTCAACTGTTTGGGCGATTACCCAGAGGTTTAAATCATTCATATACACTGCTACGATTACAAATCCTTTGTTTGCAAATTTCTTGATAAAAATACATGGACTGATCGGATCGTTTTTATAGCCTTCTCTGATGAGATATTCGCTTAACCGGTTATACCACATACGTCCGCTTTGTTTCAGTCCGTATAAGGATTTGTCCAGCCTTATGCAGTGCTGTTCTCGAGAATCTTTCTTATCTTTGAGCTCAATACCCTCTGGTAATCTCATATATTATCCAGTGGACTTTTATAAATATGCAGGCATTACATCCATTAGCCGCAAATCAAGTCTTTTGCTTTTATATAGCCAGACTTAGCAAAAATTTAAATGTCTTAGCATCCACCACAGGGGAGTATATCTCCTCTATTTCTGGTCTTTGTGTGAATCCTTGTGCGACAAGCCGTGTCTGATATATCACGCTTTCACTATGTTTATTTCACACAATCACAAAGACTCATTTGTCCCACTGGCTTTACATTGAATGGTGTCCTTTGTATTGGACCAAACACATTCTTCTTCTTAATGATTCTTAGCTCCACGTTTTATGGTCTTGTACCATTTTAATCAATCAGGTCTTTGAGTGCACTCTAGTATAGACGTGGGCTCCTGATCCTCATTCATTTCAGTTGCTACCTTGTGCGCAAATATATTATCATTGATGTCGACATCTTTTCGGTTCCATTGTATTCTAGACATGATATAGTTTATAGAGATCTCTTTACACCTTCAGGACCTTGAGGTTTGGCGTCCCAAACCTCATTGATTGGTACCTTAGGGTTATGTCTATTAGCCGGCCATGTCTATGGTTTCTTGAACCTTCTCGGTTTCCCTTGCACCTTTTTTTTTTTATTTCCGAGGGTTCTTGTCTTTGGAACCTTTTGGGTCTACCACGTTTCTTACGTGTTGTAGCCTCTGTAGCAACTTGATTGTGTTCCTTGTGAACATCAATACGTACTGGTGCATTACAAGCTGGTATGTACGATTTTGTTACTCTCTTTGGGTCATTATAGGAATCTTGGCAACTGTTTTAGCTAGCTTTTGCAGATATATAGTCTTTTGGATCCCTGATGGAGTCCGAGGATCTTGCCATGTGAAGGATGTTTGATTCCATGTAAGTTCTTTGACCAGCTTGTTAGTCTCTCCACCCAGTGTTAGGAAAACGGATTCATTGAGATGACAATCCTTGTATCTGGCCTTTGGCTCGAGATACTTAATGATGGTGGGAGAATCATTTTTAACGTATATTCCCATCCCCTTTTGAGGTCCCATCATTTGCTCTCTGTGGTGGTGCAATGGGTACATAGACTGAACACCCAAATGTCTTAAGATGGGAAACGTCTGGCTCATGACCCGTTAGCAATTGGGATGGGGAATATCTATGCTCACTAGAATGGCCTGATGCGTATAAGCTCTTGTTGCATGTAATATTGCGTGTCCCCAAGCAGCTACTGTGAATTCAAGTATGGACATATGCCACGGGGTATACTACTCTCCCCCTCATGGACATACTGTAGCCATAAAACGCTTGGGATATAATTTACCAGCATTATCTAGACATATAGTCTTAAGTATGTGTGGCTCACAGACTTATGGTCTGGGCCAGCAATCTAGCAAACACCAAGTTTCTAGTTGCTTTGACTGGTGATGACCTTAGTATGGGTTTCCCTTGTGTACATGCTGCACACGTGAGGTCCTTAAGGAGTGTGCCCTTTTGATTTTAATATCAGCTTTACGCATCATGTTAGAACCAGGCTGGCCAAGCCGGTCATGCCATTAGTGAATTTCTCAGTAAACCATTTTGTTTACTGTATTAGCCTCTATCATATTGACCTTGGCATAGTAAAGGTCTATAACGCGGGTATAGTCTCTAAGACCTTCTCATGGTCTTGGGTGCTCTTAGTAATATATGGGAATCCTTTGTTCCCTTCACCCTTAGTTTCAATGTGGAAACCATTCAAACACATTTCTTTGAAACTCAACAAGCCCCTTTGAGCTGGGTGAATATGAAGCATCTGAGGATGCGTGCCCTTGGGAATATGGGCCTACCATGGGCCTGCCCTTAGCCTTCACTAAATTTAGTTATACCCGCAATTTGGCTAATGAACCATGTCTTTAGATATTTCGTTTATTGAATTCTCATAACTCATAAATCAATCAATTCAAAGTCATAGAACATAGAAAACATAAATCAATCTTCTTCACCATTGTGATGAACTAAATGAGCTTATAGATTCTTTTCAAACTCTCTTGATAGAGATCAACGAGATGCTTAGGTGTCATGCACGTCTTAGTCCACTAGTTTCCCCATTCCTCATCAGTGGCAAACAAGTTTATTTGAGTGTTGTGGTTTGGGTATACCGCGGGCTCTACCTCGATTACGACCAAAGTCGGGTCGGCGGCCTTAACCATATGAATGGTTTCCTTGATCATATAAATTATAATTGCCACTTCTACCACGTTCATTCCATTTACCATGACTGTGGCCATGATACTTATCTCTTGGGACGTGGTTAGACTCTTTAGTCTCTTTTAGGCTCTTTAGGCTCTTCAGCCCAATGGGCTTCTGATAATGGGGTAGGACCAGGAGGTCTCATTTCACTATTTATAACTCATTGTTTTGCTTAGCAATAAATTATAATTGCCACTTCTACCACGTTCATTCCATTTACCATGACTGTGGCCATGATACTTATCTCTTGGGACGTGGTTAGACTCTTTAGTCTCTTTTAGGCTCTTTAGGCTCTTCAGCCCAATGGGCTTCTGATAATGGGGTAGGACCAAGAGGTCTCATTTCGATAGATTCACCAAGCCCTTTTTCCTTTAGGACAATCTCAGTGTCCAAAGTCCATTGTAAATAATTGTCACCAGAGGCATTGAGTGTCGTGTATTCATAATAGTTGATTTCTGACATCTATAATATATAGAGTTAAATGAGAACTCATGTAATCGGTTAGACCAAGTCATGCGGTATTTAAAACCGAGCCATGCTTGTCTTCAGCAAGTGTTTTCTACACAATCATGTTATATATATATGGATGAAATCAACCCTAAAAGATTGATCTAGTATGCAATAAAAAAAACAACCAAACAATCGGATCATACTAGATTAGGATATTATGATTTCGCGGTTAAGTTTTAGGGTTTTAGCATCCGCGATTTATAGTACTAGGGTTTTTGCTAGGGTTTCGGTTTTATGTATGGAACTTTCTATTTATGGAAACTTTCCTTATATGGAAACTTTCTATTTCTCATCTAGAAAGAAATCCTAAAC